AAGAAATATCACTTGGCACCAACATGCTTGTAAATTAAAACACAAACTTAAGCAATAAACCAGGTAGCAGTACTGATTTTAAGGTAAGTTGGTTATAAGATGTTTTTGTTTTTCACACTATCAATTGCAATAAAAAAAAATGCTAAATATAAAAATCTTGTTGAAAATTCTCTGTCCAAACCCTGAACATCTCTACAATATTAAAAAAACAGGAAATATTTTCAACTCATTTTTAAGAGTACCTCAATTTCTCTTCAAAGTAAACATGAAAGGTTATATAAGGCATAACTATACACCTGAAATTTAAAACAGAAGAGTATCTTATTTCCCTTAGAAGTTCACTGGGAAATAGGAATATTTGGAGATGTAAACAATTCATAAAAATGAACTGATATGTAGGAAATGTACAATACTATGCAAGCATTTACTGAGCTTCTACTATGTGCTAGACATTGCTAATAACCAGGGTTATAGACTCTTTTCAAGAAACTCACTACCTAGTAGGGGAAAAAGACAAAAAAAAATAAACTCTTATTATAAGGAAACCAGAAAGGTTGAACTTTACTATCTTGAAGAAAGTGGGGAATTAGTGAAGGATTTTCAGTAGGGGAGAAAAATGGTAAACCTCACAGACTGGCTAAACTACCATCCACTCCCCTTGCCCCCCTTGCTTACCTTTATTACAGAAGCTAGGAAAGGTAAAAATTCACATTCCAAGCCTCTACTGCAATGAGGGATGGCCACATTGATACAGTTCTTGCCAGTGAAATGCAAATCTACTTGAAAAGGCTTCTGGCAAACCTTTTGACTTTTTGATATCCAGGGCTTGTTCCACCCCTTGCCTTCTTGCCTTAAATCCAGCATGTGTAAAACTGTGCCAGTCATGCTATAACCTTAAGGGAAAGGCCAAAAGCATCCCAGGTAACACAGCAATGATATCACTGAGCTACTCAAGCAAAGCCTGCAGCCATCTCCAGATTTCTTGTTATTCAAAATGATAAGTCCATTCAAGTGATTTAGTTGGGTTTTCTGTCATGAGTCTGAATGTTCTTGACCAACAAAAGTTATAAGAATAAACATGTATTTCAGAATAGCCATTTCTGAGTTACTGTGGAGGATGGATTAGGAAGGGACAAGAATGAAGGTAGTGAGACTTGTTATGAAGTTATTGTACTCTAAGCAAGAGAAAAAGGGCAGTGATGATAGCGAGGAAAATATAGATTCAGAGATATTTAAAAGGTGAGAGAGAAAAGGCAAGATAAAGAAAAGGTTTCAAATATCTTCTAAGTTTCGAGTTTGAGAAACTAGGTGGATAGTCATGCCATTCTCCAAAACACATATGGTGAGGCATAAGTTCAGCTTTGGACATATTCACCTTGGATACCTATGGGACAACACGTGAAAATGATAAGGCAGTTTACTATGGATCTTGAAGTCAAGAGTGAGGTCTGGATTAGAGAAACCCAGATTTGAGAGTATTGCCAGATACAGAGTACTGTCCAATAGAATTATAATGTAATTCTAATTACATATGTAATTCTAAAGTTAAAATAAATAGATGGATTTAATTTTAATATTTTATTTAACTCAGTTTTTCCAAAATATTATTTCAACATGTTATCAATATAGTTATTAATGGGGATGATTTACATGCTAAGTCTTTAAAATCTGATGTGTATTTTATACTTAAAGCTCATCTCAATTCATCTGAATGCCTTTTTTCATCACAAATACTTGATCTATACACAAATTTCATAAAACTTACAGTTGAAAAAAGTAGATTCACATACCCATACTGTTCCAAACACATTTAAGTTTGCCAGTACCTGAAAGAAAATTTTTCCTTTACTTTTTAAATCCACACTGGAAAAATCCTGTTTATCTGTTTTAAAGAAATTGATTTGCCTTCAGAGCAAAAGCACATCAGTTTGAAAACTACATTTGTCCAAGTTAAGTAAATTCAATATATCTTGTGTCAGCTCAGTATTGCTAACACTGAACTCAGAGTTACTGAGTAAATTGAAAAGCAACTCTAAACTTATCAATAAGTAACATTTTTCAAATTTTTCTTGTAGTTTTTGTAGTGAATTTACCTGTCAAAAACAGTTAAAATCTTATGCATACCAATTCATATTGGAAAAATGTGTAAAGTTATTCTTTTATTTTTAAAAGTTTCAATTTCAAAATAAATTCTAGAGGCTTCCCTAGTGGCACAGTTGTTAAGAATCCGTCTGCCAATGCAGGGAACACGGGTTGGAGCCCTGGTCTGGGAAGATCCCACGTGCCACAGAGCAACAAAGCCCACGTGCCTAGAGCCCGTGCTCCCCAACAAGAGAAGCCACCGCAATGAGAAGCCCACGCACCGCAATGAAGAGTAAGAGTAGCTCCCACTCACTGCAACTAGAGAAAGCCCGCACACAGCAATGTAGATCCAATGCAGCCAAAGATAAATAAATATTTAAAAAAAATTTTCTTTAATAAATAAATAAATTCTAGTACTTGTCTAGGTAGCACAAGTAGGCTTTTTCCCTTACTTGGAGCTTCAAATTGAGATCATTCATATTCTGTGTAATACTGAGCAGAAAACAAACGGCCCAATTTTCTCTCTGATTATTAATTAAATATTTGGCTAGCATTTCTGTTGTTGCAAGAACATCTTGAACTGGTGTTAACGGTACAGTAAGTTTTGTAGAACTTTTCCACAATCAAACAACTGGCAGAGTACACAAATCACTAAATTCACTGTCTTTTAATTTGTTCAGCAATCCTGTAAGCTGATGTTGACTCATAGCACTTAACACCCAACAGCTGTACCCATGACAGCATCATAGAGATCATTTCGGAAAACTGAGCACAAGTACTCTCAAACTGTATCATACAGTGGAATGAAGAAATAGGGGAAACACCAAGCTCATTTAAAAATTCCAACCTAGCTGGAATGCCATTTATTGTGACAAGAAGTACTTTTTTCTCATCCAGATGAAACTCTTTTGATAATTTAAAGATTAAAATATAGCTATACAGGCCATGAATTGAAATTATTTCTTTGTAAATTTTTAAGTCCTATGAGACAAAATGCACTCCAAGTATTACTTGGACAGCACACTTTCTATTACATAACTCATCTAAAGCTAAAGAAAAGTACTTGTAATTTTTCAGATTTTGAATCAATTAACCTTTAATATTGTTAAAAGTTCCTGTATTCTGCAAGCAATATTTGGTGACAACTGAAGACTCTGTACTTTTTTTATAAGATGTTTTTAGGCTTTAACTCATAAATTTCTAACAATTTCTATAACTGAAATAATGAACTTTACTCTCCATCTATCTAAAACTAGTTCTTTTTCATGCAAGAATCCAAGCTGTTTTATATCTGGCCAAACTTAACAAACTCAATCCTTTTAAAAATTGTTCAAAAAAATTCTGTTGGACATTTCATTGTGATTTCAGGCGACTAAATTTCAATTCTTTTTTGACTTTTGAAAGGTAACTTCATTCACTCATTCATTATGCATTTGCCGGAACTGTCTCAATATTGTTACTTTACTGTCTTATTTTTTGTTCAATTATAGCTTGTTTTTCTCTGCCACAACAACAATCGTCATTCACTGTGAAATCTGCAACATACCTTCTTCCAGTCTTTGTTTACTGTCCCAGTTGTAGGACTAGCTTCTGCAGTTCTACTTGTTGCTTTTTCAGTATGCCTTCATTTTAAAATTTAAGGTTCGTTCATATTCATGTCTAAACTAGAAAAATAGTAAGTAAAACAAGTATATCAATTACCAATTATGATTTACAGAAGTAATCACTGTAATTCCTGTTGTCAGCATAAAATATTCAGATAAATACACGTTACATTGATTCATAGTAAAAAATAATTTACACTGAATCCAACACCAACTCAATCAGTGATGTTTATATGTAATACCAGACATAGCACATGGAGTCTGACAAGCACATTCCAACAATCACACCTTAAGCAAGGTAACAAAGTTAAATGTATTTTTAAAAAAACAAATAAGCTGGGCTTCCCTGGTGGCGCAGTGGTTGGGAGTCCGCCTGCCGATGCAGGGGATGCGGGTTCGTGCCCCGGTCTGGGAGGATCCCACGTGCCGTGGAGCGGCTGGGCCCGTGAGCCATGGCCGTTGAGCCTGCTCGTCCGGAGCCTGTGCTCCACAACGGGAGGGGCCGCGACAGTGAGAGGCCCACGCACCGCGATGAAGAGTGATCCCCGCTTGCCACAACTAGAGAAAGCCCTCGCACAGAAACGAAGACCCAACACAGCCAAAAATAAATAAATTAATTAATTAATTAATTAATAAAAAAAAAAAAAAAAAAAAAACAAATAAGCTGAGTTCAACAAAAATATTTCACACTGCTTTAGTTTTTGTTTAATTAAAATTAATTTAAAAATCTACTTTCTTAGTCCTACTGAACTCATTTCAAATGCTTAATAGCCACATGTTGCTAGTGGTTACCATATTAGATAGTGCAGATATGGAAATGAGAAAGACAAAAGTCACAAGGCTTGCAGTTTTTATTCCATTTCTCTTTTATTTGATATAACTTCCAGAGCTTAGAAGTTATCTGGGTTATATTACTCTTTCATATCCTCACAAAAAAACAAAGCAAAAATGGAATTGTTGGATCTTCTGTATAGGATTCCCTGAAATATGTATTTGGCCCACTCTAGCAGACATGGACCAACCTCTAAAAACCCATTGCTCCTAAAAACAATCAACTTTTATCTCTTTGGAGAATGCCTTTTAAACAGCAATGTGCTGAATAAAGTTTAACAACTGGCTTTTGAAAAAAAAAATGTTATGTATTTAAAAGATGTGCAGCATACAATTTACAAATGATAAAATCATATACAATACTCTTTTCTCTTTGGACGTGCCACGCGGCTTGCAGGACCTTAGTTTCTTGACCAGGCATTGAACCCAGGCCACGGCAGTGAAGTGCCAAGACCTAACCAGGGAATTCCCACACAATACTCTTTATGGTACGTTCCATATAGCCAACTGATTCTCGTAGGCTTTTGTTGACTTTTGTTGAACTCTTGTATCTGTAGCTAATCTGTGATTGCAATTTGACCAGGATTTTACAAAGGGAGTTGCATCCCAATCAGCTAACTCTTTTCCCAACAAACTTATAGTCATTAAATCTGATATATGACCTACTGTTAAACTATTTCTCACCCTTGTACAAATTATGTTCATTAAGTTGAAACCTCTTTCAGCTTCAGCACTATTGACTGCAATGGTGCTATCTTTTTAGCCTTTTGTACGGTTGTAGGAATTGAAACATTGTTTGACTTTACATTATTACTTACAAATTCCGGAAAATCATTCAAATCAATTTCGAATTTTAAAATTTCACACAAATGAAATAATTTTTTTTCACCAGTTATCCATGGTGAAGTTATTTCTTCATAAGGCCATGTAGAAGGTTCTAGCAAATCAAAATAATTAAAAATACTTTCATCATGGCTCTTGTCAGATAAAAGACGTAAGTTCATGTGTTGAATTATATTTTCTAGTAACATGTTCCTAGGAAGGGCATTAAATTTATTATTTTTATTAAATGGAATATCTTTAAACTTATCTGACTTAATCAAACCTTCAATTTGAGATTCACGCTTTCCAGCAACAATTTTTAAATTTTCCAAGGCTTTTATGGTGCGTTTGATCAATTTTTGTGCTTTCTGAATGTTAGCTGAGCTTGACTGTAACGCAGTTGAAAGTAGTGAAAATTCTTCAAGAATGTCAATCATTAAAGCAAGGTCTTGCAAGAAATTAATGTTAGCTAATCTCTTTGCCAAACCAGAATGAGAATGAGAAAAATGCATATATAATACAGGATATGCACGCCATACAGCAGTAGCAGCTTGTAAACTACATGCCGCCCATTTTGGTCCCATTATCCGGCCAATTTTAACAATTTCAATTTGAAGATCTTTAGCTACATTTTCTAAAAGCTTGTTTTGATTTTTATTAGATTGATGATAATTAGAATAAATTTTATCGAGAAATATTTTTAAATGATTCACCTGTTTTGTTGCAGATATTGAATAATCAAGGGACAAGTGCAATCAATGGTTTAAATAGTTCCAAATAATGATTTCAGGAAAATTTTCTAACAACTTTGTAGCTACTCCAGACTTTCTTCCCAGCACTGTATTAGCACCATCAGAACAAAATGCAATTAAATTTGCTTTCAAATATTCAGTAGTGAAACCACAATCATTTAAAGTACTCAATAATGTACTGAAAATACACTCTGCTGTGGTTGACACCAGTTCTTTTAAAGCAACAAATAACATAAGAGGTGCAGGAACCTACTGAACTGTACTGGACTGAACTGGAGATAAATCACGAGGGTCCTTTTCTTTGAAACTGTGGATGCCTCATCAATTACAGTACAGATTTTGGCATTTTCTTCTATAATATTCTTAAATATCGTCATCTTCATTTCTTTTGCAATATGCTCTGCTATTCTTGTTGCACTGTATCGTGTATTTAAACAACTGACCTCTCCATTTTTCTCTTGTAATTCTATTGCCCCTTCAATATCAGATAAAGGTCTATTATGTTTTATTAAACTATAAACAGTATTGAAAACTTTCACAGTAGCATCAATATTTTTATTACTTTGTTTATGCACTAAATTAGAAACTGAGTCATTAATTGATTCCTTTAACAAATCCTGAATTTTACCATGGGCTTTAGAAACATCATGTTCCCTAATTTTTTTTCACAGAGAAGATTGTCTAGTAGTTTTATTACTGCCATTAGGGGTTACTAAATATGCAATCCACTCCTTGGACACATGGACATGCTTTTCTGCTTTCAATCCCAAATGCTGAACTGTTGAGCAATCCTTACATCCTAATTTACCTTCTTTTATTTCAAGCCATTCGTACTGTTCTGTAAACATAAATGCTTGTTTTTCATTCCAACAATCTGGAAGCACAAGATTATCCATTTCTTCCTTTGATGAACATGATGGCTTTTCTTCAATGATTGGTTGTTCAACATATTTGAAATTTGATTCCTTAGACTTAGACAACCCACAATAGTTTTTGTTCCTATTGTTACTTTCTGTGCCTGTTTTCACTTTCTTCGCATTTAAAAAATGCAATAAATCACCCTGTCGTTTTGGCATTTTAGGGAACAAAATCTGAAAAATAATTTTACATATGTAAGTAAAAGTCATGAAAACACTTTTAGGGTTAATGTAAAAACTTCTGTTAATGATTTCTTTATATAATTTTAGAAATAAATTTTAAACTAGAATACTTACCTTGATTTTCAGTTTATACCTATAATTTCAATATGACTTGCTATTTCTTGAAAAATGCACTATCAGTTTTTTAAATTCTATAGCCAATAATAATGTCACAAAATCTGACTGAACTTTTCGTTTTGTTTTTTTGTTTGTTTGTTTTTGTTTTTTTGCAGTACGCGGGCCTCTCACTGTTGTGGCCTCTCCCATTGCGGAGCACAGGCTCCGGACGCGCAGGCTCAGCAGCCATGGCTCACGGGCCCAGCCACTCCGCGGCATGTGGGATCTTCCCGGACCGGGGCACGAACCCGTGTCCCCTGCATCGGCAGGCGGACTCTCAACCACTGCGCCACCAGGGAAGCCCCTGACTGAACTTTTGATGATCATCCAATTCAACAGAAAAGTTGCTCATATGATTTACAAGTATAGTTCTAGTGTGAAAAGTGGTTGATACTTTCATTTACATTATTAAGAAGAATGTAAAAAAAGATGTATATCAGAACTCCACTCATTCATCAATGATAACATCAACATCTTTGTTGAATCAATGAAGAGTTTTCAAATACTGCAAGATTTCCTCAATTTTTTGTATAGCATAGAGTCTAGTAGTTAGAGACTTATGTTTTTAGGCTTAATCTGCATTAACATTTCATCCATCACTTCCTTCAGTTTAGACAATCAACAAATAATAAATCACGCCCTGCTCTGTACAATAGTTTGCCAATTGCCGTGCTGTAAACACTTCCATCTTCCTTCAGGAGCACATTGTTATACCATATTCCTACCACACAGTACAACAGATGTAAATAACCTCAAGTGTGTAGATATTAGGGTATGAGAGTTTTGAGCATCTATTACCTTAAACATGATAATCTATTTACTTTTAAGTTTTTATATACTTGAATTTTTAAATTGATGTATAGTTGATTTACAACATTATGTTAGTTTCTGGCGTACAGCAAAGTGATTCAGTTATATATATTCTTTTTCACATTCTTTTCCATTATAGGTTATTACAAAATACAGTAGAACCTTGTTGTTTATCCACTTTATATACAGTAGTTAGTATCTGCAAATTCCTAACTCCTAATTCATCCCTCTCCTATCTTTCCCCTTCGGTAACCATAAATTTGTTTTCTATGTCTGTGAGTCTGTTTCTGTTTGGTAAATAAGTTCATTTGTATCATATTTTAGATTCCATATATAAGTGGTATCATATGGTGTTTGTCTTTCTCCTTCTGACTTACTTCACTTAGTATGATAATCTCTAGGTCTATCCATGTTGCTGCAAATGGCATTATTTCATTCTTTCTTATGGCTGAGTTATACTTGAATTTTTAATAATGGCTACATTTAACAATCAGCTCAAATTTAACAAACACACCTCCAGCACATACTGCACTTAATGACACAACTGAAGAAACACAAATATAATATACTTACATCACTATGATAGGTGCTACACTCTTTATCATCACCACAGACCAGATCAATGTATTCAAGAACAGGTCTTGATGGTCCCTCCTAAAAAGGAAGTCAGCAAATTTACAAGTCATTAACAATCATTCAAACCAAATGTGCCTTTATAATCACTAGGGGCTTTTTGGTTGGAATTAGCAAGAATTCCTGTGAAGAGGTGGCCTCACCGGTGGTGCAAAATAATCAGAAACAGAACCAGCAGAGGTAAAGATTCAGAGAAGACCAATATGCAACGATGACAAAACCCAAAAAGAGCCTAAATCTATATAGAGGAAAAAAGCCATGTACTCCTTTGGAAACGGGAAATAGACCAGGGATAATGTTAAAAAGACACAGATACCATGGTACAGTACTTTTTAACTGGGATGGTTATCAATAATCTTTTACATATCTAAGCTCAAAAGCATGGAGTTCTTTGATATCTCTGCTTCATCCTCCATATCCTTATGCAACCAAATATCAAATCTCTTCAATCTTTTCTTTACACACATACTACCTTCAACATAGACCAGTCCTTAAATACCCCAGTTGAAAACCTAGATTTTATTTTACAGGCAAAGGAATCAACTAGTAGTGTTGAGACGGGAACCACATTAAAGCTGTGCTTCAAGAAGATTAGGAGACAGGACTTCCCTAAGACTCCATGCTCCCAATGTAGGGGGCCCAGGTTCAATCCCTGGTCAGGGAACTAGATCCCACATGCCATAACTAAAGATCCCATGTGCCTCAACCAAAGATCCCGTGGGCCACAACTAAAAAAAGATCCCGCAGGCCACAATAAAGATCCCACATGCTGCAAAGAAGATCCTGCATGCCGCAACCAAGACCCAGCACAGCCAAATAAATAAATATTTTAAAAAATAAAAAATAAACTTGAACTGCTCATTATTTAAAAAAAAAAGAAGAAGAAGAAGATTAAGAGAGTATGAAATGTGGGATGATCAGTTAAGAAGAAAACCAATGCAGACAAATGGTAATTTAATACTAAAGTAGAGTGAGGGCAAGGAGAATAATGAGCAAGTACCCTCTTCTGTATGTACACTGCACTTCAGGAAAATTTACACCAAAGATAAGATCTCCTTCTGTACTCCCCAATTTTCATCATTCCTTTCTTTCAGCATATTGTGTTTAGTTTGGGGCTTATGTATATGGCAACATACAAAGAGGATGCTGTGCCACAATGCAGACTGAGGCTGGAAAATAAGATTTATACGAAAAAACTAAGAAATCCAAACCAGAATACGTCAAGTAGTAACATACTTCTTGATAAAAGATATAAAAAGAACACAAAAATTTTTTTGTATCTGAGAACCCTCAAGCAGAGCATTGTACCCAGTAGCATTTCATCGTTTTTGGATGGTACTATAAAAAACATAGTAATAAACACATCCTGATGGAACCCAGCATAGGATGGGGTGAGAGGAAGTAAATTCTGATCTGAATGTAGTTTAAAGTAGAATTAAATGATCATTTTTATGTGGCACCATTTAAATGCAACAGAAATATTTTTACTAGATTTTTCTCGTACTGCAATTCCACTCAGTGCATATAATTCATTTCTTACTGAGCTGTCAAATCTTCAATCCTCTAATTGTAAACAAGGCTATTTCTAAGAGGTTCTATCAAGCTGGATGTATACTACTCTGGATGCAAAGATACAAAAAATTCTCTATATTTAAAATAAAATTTAAATTAAGATTTCTAAACCTCACCTTAACACAAGCTGATATATTAACTCAGTCAGAATTTACAACATGATTATGCATTTAATCCTGAGAGTATGACACAAAATTACACCCATTTATTTCTCCAACCTTAATTTTGTAGAATCCTACTGTGTTTCTCAAAATAAGGCACACAAATCATCAACACTTGTGTCACGCCTAGCTAGAGTTGCACAAAACACCATCAAGGTCATCGTATCTTATTCACTGTCTTTATACCACGGTCAGGAAGAACCTAAATTATTTTTCCTAATGACCCCTGCAATCCTCTTTCCAAATGTTTTTCAGTACAAAAACAGACATCATGGCTCTTCAATTTCCACAGCTACATCACTTACTCCTCACCACATGGGGAGGCAAAGTCAGCATACAATCCTTCTTGGTATCCCCAAATTTATAAAAGTTCCAAGTGTCAAGAAAAAAGTACCACATGCACTACTGTGGTGAAGAAGACCTTGATCTTTTAAAGAAATTCTATATAACCCTACTAGAACATAAAAACAATGTTACCACAACCTTTAGAGAGGGAATTTTGTTTGATTTAAAAACAAGTCATTTGCAAGAGGAAGGAGATATGGGGATATATGTGTATGTACAGCTGATTCATTTTGTTATAAAGCAGAAACTAACACACCACTGTAAAGCAATTATACTCCAATAAAGATGTCAAAAAAACCTGAAAAAAAAATATAAAAACAAGTCAATTACATGGTTGCCGTAAACCTACAGCAACTAAGAAACACACAAACATTAAACAGGCAAACCTTTAAAAGAGATTATAAACCTTTAACAGCAAACCTCAACTAACTACAATATTCAAAAAGAGTCATTCACAGTAGAAATATTCTCTAGCTAACTAAGATACTACTTTAAGCAGAGCCTTTGTAAAATTTTAACAGTGTGGGGTGGAAATTATCCTCAAATGTATCATAGCACCCCCTGCTATGATACATTGGTTTTTGCAACCAATGTTTTACAAAGTGTGTTCACAGCTTCATACACCCCTGCATTTGCACCAGCATCAAGATTCCTGGGCCACACCTCCCATTTCTGATTCCATAGGTCTGGAGTGAGGTCCGGGAATCCACACACTTCTACTTACTAATGCTTGAAAACTACTGTCCGAAGGGAATAAAAACAAAGATTCAGGATGCTCCTGGTGATACGGGCCCTTCATTGTGAACCTCTCCTGCTGGACTGTGCTGTAACAGGATGAGCTCGGAGCTTAGTGAAGTCTTCAAGCCACCCGCCTTCACGTTATGGAGACACACAGGCTCAGAAGTTGAGTTCCTGCAGCTCTTCTGGTTTTCTACCTCATTCCTCATCACTAGCCGCCCCTTCTCCCTAACCTGTGTGCTATCTTTTAGAAGTTACTCTTGTCTCATTTCAAAACACTCTTAGGAGACCACAACCCTGCGTACATGAACGGCTCTAAGTGCAGGCGGAGAGGCGAGATTCAGGGTACAACACGCACCGCAGGCCACAGGCTTTGTGATGCCTACTGGGGCTGCTCAGACACCTCTTCGGGCAAATTCCCTACTCCTATGCCCTGCTCCACAGTGTACAGTCCATATCAGACAGTCACACACGTTTGCTGCATGATGAACAAACAGGTGAGGGGTAATCACATCACGGCTTATCACGCATAGTCTCTGACTCGGAAAAACCCGAATATCGTCGCTACTTACACTAACAAACTGAATGTCATCTTCATTTTCCTCGGGTGTTGACTCGGACGCCTCAAGCCCATCCAGAGGGACACATTCCATTATCTATAAAAATAAGCCAAAACACGGTTATCTAGACAACTGCGCACCTACAGAAGGAGATTTTTCCTAAGGGAACGAAGAAGGAAAGTTCTCGCGGAGACCTAACGGAGCCCCAGCCTCCGCGAGCCCGAGCTCGCGTCCGTGGACCGCAGGGGCCCCTCCGCATCCCTTCTCCCCGAGGAGCAGGGAGCACGCTCCCCCAAGAGGCAGTCGGCCTCGGAACCCACGCCGCGCCCGCGCCGAGCAGCGGTCCCCGAGCCGGGAGGCCACTGTTGCTGCGGGGCCCTCTCCCCCAGGCCCACTAGGTCCCCAGGTCCCAGACTCTAGGCCCCAAACTCTAGGCCTCCAGACCCCTAGGCCCCTAGTCCGCCAGGCCCCAGATCCCAAACCCTCCAGGCCCAGGCTCCCAGACCCCCAGGCCTCCTAGGCCCCCGGGCACCCTAAGCTCCCCAGGCCCCCTAAGCCCCCCAGGTCCCGCCCAGCACCCCCCGGACTCTGCACAAGGCCGGGCCCAACCCGCTACTCACCTCCGACCCTGGGTCTTCCATCTCCCCGCCGCCGCCTCCGCCACCGCCGGCAGAAAGGGCTGCAAACCGCTTCCCGTGGGCAGAGGCGCAATAGCCCCGCGGGGCCTGGCCTCCCATAGTTCCGGACACCCTCGCCCGCCGCGCGGGCCGCTGGGAACTGTAGTTCCGGCCGCGCCGAGACAGCTCCGCGCGCGGAGGGGCGCGGGAAGACTGAGCTACTGCGCATGCGCTCCTCGAGAAGCTTTTGCCGCTCAAGTGGAATCATTAGGTGACCTGTCTCTCCTAACTTCTCTCTCTGTTTTCTGTTTTAGAACAAAATTGTGGCTTATATAATAGATCAATGGTGTTAGAATGCTTACTAGTGAAATCATGTCCAACCATTTTCTTTAAAAAACACACAAACGATTGTGAATAGATAAAATGTGTGAAAACAGGTATTATCTGAGGACATGTAAAGCTTTTCCTCCTTTCCCCATCAGCCTAAGATCACCTGTAGTCCGACGAACCTGTATTCCCACAGAATCACCTTTATGATTCTGACCCTGGACTGCAGTGAGCGAGGCCATACAGCGGAATAACCTCAGGAGACAAAGGAATGGAGTTATGAGATTTTAAGGAAGGGTTTAGGTAGGTGAAATGTCAGAGAAACTGTTCTGATAGGGTCAAAAGCAATTATAGGGCTGCGTGTAAAGAGTTCAACATTAGGTCTGGACTGCAAAGGTCTTGGTAACTTGGGAGCTACAAATTAAGATAGATACTAAATGATGTATCCAGAAACCCCTGTGCCAGGTGTGAGATATGAGGCTGGTTCTCTATATCAAAGAGACCAGACAAGAGAGGGGCAATTCATTCTTACTGATACATTTTCAAAGAACAAAGTATCTCACAGTCTGATTTTAGAGAACAAAGCTTCTCATTGAGCAAATAAGAAAGCAGTAGTTATCAAAGTCACTTTGACTTTGTGCCGTATTTCTTTGGTAGAGATATTGTCCCTTGTTAATGTTTAAGCTGACTTTAATGTTTGTGTGATATTTAAGCCCAGCAGACATTTAATTTCTCGTCGGAGGTCCGTTTTTGCCGGTCTAAATGAGCACATGACATTATGTTCATAGGTGGTATTAGATACAACTGTTACATTTTTTGCATTTTCACAAAGTGCACTTGTTCCAACTAAATTTGGGGCTTGTAAAAGAAAGTTGAGAACAGGAGGGACCTACCATGATGATCTCCCCAAAAGCCACAGGTAAATTAACCATTTCTAAATCCCTTAAATGTCTAGGAGAGGTTTGCATTTAAAAGATTTTCATAGGGTCTTCCCTGGTGGCGCAGCGGTTGAGAGTCTGCCTGCCGATGCAGGGTACTCGGGTTCGTGCCCCGGTCCGGGAAGATCCCACATGCCGCGGAGCAGCTGAGCCTGTGACCCGTGGCCGCTGAGCCTGCGCGTCCGGAGCCTGTTCTCCGCAACGGGAGAGGCCACAACAGTGAGAGGCCCGCGTACCGCAAAAAAAAAAAAAAAAAAAAAAGATTTTCTTAGTCTGCTGGTAAGAGCTCAATAGAAACGCACTGTGATAGGTTGCCGTTGGGAGTTTTTCAGTTAAGCTCTTGGTAAACAGCAGCACGTATGTGCCTAGAGCCCTAATGTGCTCATGCCCTTCATTTCAGTAATTGTTGAGGAGATGGTCTTTTCCATTTAAGATATTCTAATAGGTATGTAGTGATATTGCATTGTGATATTTTTTTAAAATATGTATTTATTTATTTGGTTGCACCACGTCTTAGTTGCGGCAGGTGGGTTCCTTAGTTGCAACTTCAGGGCTCCTTAGTTGTGGCATGCATGTGGGATCTAGTTCCCTGACCAGGGATCGAACCCAGGACCCCTGCATTCGGAGCATGGAGTGTTATTCACTGCACCACCAGAGAAGTCCCCTGCATTGTAATCTTAATTTGCATTAACCTAATGACTAATAACGTAATAATGTTGAGCATCTTTTTATGTGTTCCTTTGCCATCGGTATGTCTTCACTGGTAGTGTCTGTTAAGACCTTCTGTCTGTTATTTAAATGAGTTATTTATTTTCTTATCGAATTTTGAAAATTATTTATTTATTATGGGTACAAGTCCTTAACAGATATGTGATTTGCAAATATTTTCTCCCAGTCTGTGGCTTTTCTTTCCATTTTCTTAAAATTGTCTTTCAAAGGAAAGTTCTTACATTTGATGAAGTCTAATTTATCAATTTTTTTTTTTGGTGATGGTGTATCTAAGCAAGATTACAAATATTCTTCTTTGTTTTATTCTGAAATATTTAGAATTAGGTTTTAATTTTAGGTCTGTGGTACATTTAGAATTCATTTTTGTATATGGTGTGAGGTATGCATATGTATATACCATTGTGCCAGGACCAGCTGTTGAAAAGAATAGTTTTCATTTGAATTGCCTTTGCACCTTTGTCAAATACCAGTTGTCCATATTCACGTGGGTCTGTTTCTGAACTTTCAGTTACATTCTACTGATGAATTTATCTATCTTGACACCAGTACCACACCATCTTGATTACTGTAGTTTTGCATTAAGTCTTAAAATCAAATAGTGTTAGTCTTTCAGCTTTATCTTCTTGTTTATCTAATTGTTGTAGGTGTTTAACTTATCTCAGCAACATTTTGTAGTTTTCACTGTCAGATGTTATCTTGTATCTTATATTTTGTATCTTCTTATATATCCTGTCAGATTAATTGCTAAGTATTTCATATTTTTTGATGGTATTGTAACTGGTATGATTTCTCAAATTTCAATTTCTGATTGTTCATTATTATTACAGAAATAAAACAGATTTTTCTCTAGCTTTATTAAAATATAATTGACAAATAAAAATTGTATACATTTAGGTGTGCCACATGATGTTTCGATATTATTACACATTGTGAAAAGATTACCACAATCAAACTAATTAAGATATCTGTCAACTCACATAGTTACCATTTTGTGTGTGTGCGTGGTGAGAGCACTTAAGATCTACTCTCTTAGCAAATTTCAAGTATACAATACATTATTGTTAACTATAGTCACCATGCTATCTATGTTAGGTCTCCAGAACTTACTCATCGTATAACTGGAAGTTTGTACCCTTGGACCAACATCTCCTCATTTCCCCCACCCCCACAGCCCATGGTAGCCACCATTCTGCTCTCTGTTTCAATGAGTTCATCTTTTTTAGATTCCACACATGAGATCATGTGGTATTTATCCTTATGTGTTTGGCTTATTTCACTTAGCATAATGTCCTCCAGGTTCATCCACATTGCTGTAAATGGCAGGATTTCCTTCTTTTCTAAGGTGGAAGAGTATTCCACTGTGTATGTGTACCATATTGTCTTTATCCAGTCATCTGTCAACAGACATTTAGGTTGTTTCCATGTCTTGGTTAACATAATAATGGTGCATTGAACACTGGAGTGCATATATCTCTTTGAGATACAGATTTTATTTCCTTCGCATATATACCCAGAAGGTATATGCTAGATGGTATAATAGTTCTGTTTTTAATTTTTTGAGGAATCTCCATACTATTTTCCATAGTGACTGTATCAATTTACATTCCCACCAACAGTGCACAAGGGTTCCCTTTTCTCCACATACTTGCCAGCCCCTATTATTTCTTGTCTTTTTTATAATAACCATCTTAACAGGGGTAAGGTGATATTTCACTGTGGTTTTGCTTTGCATTTCTCTGATGATTAATGACATTAAGCACCTTTTCATATAACTGTTGGCCATTTTTATGTTTTCTTTGGAAAAATAAGGTCAGGTCCTTTGCTCATTTTTAGATTATTTGGTTTTTTGCTATTGAGTTGTATGAGTTCCTTATATATTTGGATGTTAATCTCTCTTTAAAGAGATTTGGTTTATGGTTTACAAATATTTTCTTCCCTTCTGTAGGTTGCCTTTTTGTTTTGTTGATAGTTTCCTTTGCTGTGGCAGAAACTTTTTAGTTTGATGCAGTTCACTTGTTTATTTTTGCTTTTGTTGTCTGTGCTTTTGGTGTCATATCCAAAAATATCATTGCCAAGACCAGTGTCAATGAGCTTTCCCCCTACATTTTCTTCTATTAGTTTTTCAGTTTCAGGATTTACATTTAAGTCTTTAATTTAGTTTGAATTAATTTTTGTGTATACAGTAAGATAAGGGTCCAATTTTATTTTTTGCATGTGAATATCCAGTTTTCCCAACACCATATATTGAAGAGACAATTGTTTCCCCATTGTGTGTTCTTGATGCCTATGTCAAAGATTAGTTGTTGATATATGGGTGGTTTTATTTCTAGGCTTTCAATACTGTTCTGTTGGTCTATGTGTCTGTTTTTATGCCATTACTATATTGTTTTGATTACTATAGCTTTGTAATATAACTTTAAATCAGGAATTGTGATGTGTTCAGCTTTTGTTCTTTCTCATGATTTCTTTGGCTATTCAGTGGCTTTTGTGGTTCCATAGGAATTTTAGGAGTGTTTGTTCTATTTCATGAAAATGCCATTGGGATTTTGATAGAGATTATAATTGAATCTGTAGATCATTTAAGGACATTTTAACAATATTATTCTTACAATCTATGAACAGACCAGTGGGGTTGTCCCATTTGTGGGGGTCTGCATGTGAGATGTCCCAGGGGGCTGGTGGGCAGGCCTCCTGGTGGAGTCTGTCAGTCAGTAGGATCCTCAGCCCTTTGTTGAGTCTGGGTCCTGGTTTCTGTAATTCCCATCTCTCTTCCCTGCACCCAGCCTCTCCCCTATCTAGCCATGTCAAATACCTCGGGATTCTGGGTAGGCAAGAAAGAAGTGGGCCTCTTAGGCAGCGTTCAGCATGGCTTGGGTGGACCAGCTCATTCACTACCTCTCACTTACCCCCATGGGAGAAATTATGGGCCAAGGGGGTTTCTCTTGGTACTAAGCTGTGCCACCTTGGGGGAGTGGTGATGTGGGGAAAGTGAAACTGTTCTTACCATCTTCAGTCCATCTATTCTTGGAT